TTTTCCATAGATGATGCCAATTGATGTCATGCAATCTAAACACTCCCTCATGTACTGTGATTCAGACTCTAACTGTATGTCAATCTGGTTGGGCCGAGCTATGTGGCCGAATTGATGTCTAGATGTCTGAGCTAAAGTGAGCTGCAAGGGAAGAAGAGTGAGAGTGCCCGGGTAGTTTTTACCCGTGGAGGACACTTCGATGCTTAAGTCAGTAAGTGAATGGGGATTTCTCTGAGAGTATGAGTGCGCGTACCTCCTCAAGTGAGTTCAGGCTCCTTTTATACTCATCAGAGGTTTAAGGTACTTTTGTAACGTCCCTGAGTTTCTGGCAGAGCTGTTTCTGCAATATAAGGCGTGTTAATGTGTCAGTTACTAGATCTACACGACGGTTATAGTTCATTCGCTTAGATTGTGGGACACGGTTCGTTAAGCTACTCCAACGGTCGCGATATCGGTGGCCTTGGGAACGGGATATGGGGGCAGTTATACGAGCTCACCTTCGCAGGTCACTTAGCTTGCCTTAGCTTAGTTGTCTTCTCAGTCAAGTCACCTGCAACCTTCGGGGCCCTGCCAGCTCGCCCTTGCCGAGGTCGAGAGTAGTCTGTGTGAGGTCCTCCAAGCTAACTTGCCATGTTGGTCTACTGACCTGGCATTGCACTGTCGATGATGGCCACGTGTCGTCATTTGTTTGGGAGGACCAAATTCCCCCTCATTAGTACCCAAGGCCTCAACCTAAGCCCAATATTCTTTTAGTTTGGTTTAATTTTTTTGCCCAAACCCAACATGAAGTTTAAAAACTCAAGCACAACCTATGCAAAAGCTTTGATTGACTTTGGTGGGGCTTGGATTGGGTCAACCCAACTTGCATCCCTAGATCTTTTTGCCTGAACATATTTTAACAAAGCCTATGCATTGCACATGTCCCTACTAGTATAAATATTATATATAATATATTTTACAACTTTTAATATACCTAAATATGGTGGTTGGATGGTAAGCTTCTTAAGTTTTAAAACAAATGACTAGGGTTCAAGCCTTTTAATTTACATTTGGGATTATAGCTGATAAGGGCAACTTTTGGACCCTAATATCAATAAAAATAATACTCTTAATATATTTTCTAAAATAGGTTAGCTTTTAAAAAAATATATCAAATAAGGGCAAAAACATTGTTCATCTTCTTCCTCCTACAAACCATCCATCGACGCCATTGCCTGCCACTGCCTCCAGCAACCTTCGACAGTGCCACCGCCTCCACCCACCTCCGCCCCAGCCCTACGAATCTCAACGACTACCACCCACTATTATTGCTGCCGCTGCCACCGCCGCCCACCTCCGGCAATGCCACCTCTGCCCCAGTCCTACAAATCTCAATGACTACCATCCACTAGTGTCGTCGCCTCCGCCCACCTCCGAAAATGGCGATCAGACGACATGAGGTGGCCGGCGGCATTGCCGAAGGTGGGCAGAGGCATTGTCGAAGGCGGTGCTGGAGGATGGTGGTCATTGAGGTTTGAAAGGCTCGGTTGGGGCGGAAGAGGTTTGGAAGATGAAGAAGATAAATAGTGTTTTTGCCCTTATTTGATACATTTTTTAAAAAGTTAATCTATTTAAGAAATTATATTAGAAGTATTTATTTTTATTGATATTAGGGCCCAAAAGTTGCCCTTATCAGCTATACCCCTTTACATTTTCTTTAAAATACATGCATAATAATATAATATGTACAATAAAGAGTCATTAATTAACGTAAGTAAAGAGGTAGATTACTTGACCTTATTTAATGTAGTTAGACATTACCCAACACAATTGGACTTTACCCAGTGTAGCTAGACATTGCTATTGCAACGGTGCCCATCATGGTGGATACCAATCATAGCTTGACCTCTATTTGACCCTCCTCCTATTGGTTATAGAGATGACAATTTGACCCATCCTTGTTGGGCCCTGCCCCGCCCCACATTGGTTGGGGTGGTTTTTTTTACCACAAATTGGGGTTTAGGGCAGGTTTTGGGGAAACTTGAAACACCGGGGGTTAAAGACAGGGCAAGATGGTATTTGTTCACCCCTTGACCCCAACCTCGAACCCACATTGACTATAGTATACTACATCTATACTACTTATAAAAGTGCAAATGAGGTAGTGGATTTTTGGAATTTTTCTTCACTAAACTACTCCTCCCCTTGAATTTGGTTCATCTCCATTGAGAGGGTAGAAAATGTAATTAAAATAATACTATTACATACATTTAAGTACCTCTCATTATGTTTTACATTTAAGTCATTGGATAACTCACATTCTCTCATTGAATCCAAC